AATATAATATTATAAATAATAATAATAAAATTATTAATATTAATAATAAATATAATATTTGTATTATATAAATATAATATAAATAAATAATAATATATAATAAATATAATAAATAATATAATATATAATTATATATAAATAAATATTATATATTATATATTATATTATATTACATATAATATATAATATATAATACATAATATATATATATATATATATGTTGTGTGTGTTGGCAACTAAGTCATTAGTGATTTTAAAAGGCCACCCATCGACAAAATTCGCAATCATTTACTAACCACTACAAAAATAATTTTTCTAAAATATTGATTTAGATATTTTACGGTCCCCCACCCCTTTCCCTCCCTTCTCTTGGATAAGTAAACTTTGCTAATATTGTTTTTAATTTTGATCAGGTGCCTTTCTTGTGCCTTTCATCTTAATGCTGATCACAATGGGCTTACCGATATTCTTTCTGGAACTTGCAATTGGACAATATTCTGGTCTAGGTCCTAACGAGGCATTTGCTCGAATGGCGCCAGCATTTCAAGGCCTCGGTTATTGTACTTTAGTTGTTATTGGATTTGTTTTAATCTATTATATGATAATAGTAGCATGGACAATATTTTATATCTTTGCATCATTTTCACCGAATCTCGCTTGGGCACATTGTAATAATGACTTTAACAGTAATGGTAAGTATTATATTCATAGTTTTAATGTACACAAAATATAAGTAGACGTTGTTCATATCTAAATATTAAACAAAAGTTAGATTTTACTTTGACAAGTATTCATGGGGTGAAAGAAGATTGACATTTTTAACAATTATTTTATTTGTATTAAAGATTGTTACAGTGGTATTCAAGATCTTCAGTGTCAAAGTAACGACACTACTACGATATTTTACAACAGAACGTGTACCTCAATTAATATAGTTTGTCAAAAATTTGGCTACGAATATGGAAACATTACGCATTGTTTAAAAAATGACACTAACAACAACAACAACAACGCTACACCGTTTCGTCATCTTTACAAAAGAGTATTATCTTCCGAGGAATATTTCAGGTAGGATTATCTTTGTTAATTATTCTATATATATATATATATAATAATTAGTTATTTTAAGTAACTTAATATATATACATATATTTATTTTATATATATATATATATATATAATATTTATAAAATAATATTTATATNTATATATTTATTATATTTATCTATATAATATATTTAATTTTATATATTATATTATTATATATATTATATATATTATTATATTAATTATATATTATATAAATATATAATTAAATTAATTATATTATTAAATACTTGAATAACTTTAATTTTTTTAAATTCATAATAGAATTATTAATTTAAAATTAACTACAAAATTTAACTATGTTATTTAATTTAATTATATAAAAAAATAATAATATAATATATATATGTATATATATTTAACAAATTTTAAAATGTTTTTTCTTTTACATTGCCAACATAGAAAAATAACAATATTTCTTTCTTTTTCTTATATTATTATTTTCTAGAAATCGTTTGTTTCGTTTTTTTAAATAACAAACCATTATTATTGTTACAACCAAGCTATTATATGCTTCATTGTTCCGCACGAACGAGAATTCCTATTTCTTTAGCTCAACTACCTGTTACGTTACATGAACATACAGTTGTCTCAACCCTAGAACGTTATAGTATTTTGACGAAATCAAGAAGAGAGAGAGAGAGAGAGAGAGAGAGAGAGAGAGAGAGAGATAGAGAGAGACAGAGGATGAGATGAGATGAAATCATTAGCATGTACCCTTAAAGTTCCTTGCTTCCCTCATTTATCTCGTTTTATCTGTTTCAAGTTATTTCACCCATAAGTTTATTAGCAGACGGAAGAAGTAACTATGTAAACGTGACATGGAATTTGCATATCGATCTTAAACATTCCACTAGTCATTTTACTTGGTTTCTTCATGTCCGTTGCTTTTACATACACAGACACATACACACACATATATATAAATACAAATACAAAACAGATTCTAAAAGATACAAATGATTTACTAATAACAAAATCATACGATAACGATATTATTTTCTTTGTATATTGAAATATATAATAATTCCCATAAACGGTTTATGGTATACATATGACCGTGTTCTCAAACAAAAAAAAAAATAAAATAAAATAAAAGGGATGATCAAATGTAAAAGTAAATATTTATAGATAGATATAATATATTTATGAAAATGGTTTTTATTGTTAGTTCGATACAAGAATAATATTTTTTTAGGTCAGCCATTTATATATATATATATATATATTTATATATAGTAACATACAGATGATACTTATTAATAAAAACACATCTGTACTCGATATAAATTCTTTTAGTGTAATTTGGAGAATTTATGTAGGTCATAGGGTACCCTTGCACGTTAGAGATATCGAAAACACACCTGTCTATTATTGATCGTCCAACCCAAATTCTGAGGATTTATGTAGGTCAGAAATACCCTTACATAGCACCTGTTAAATGCACATCTGTTTTGTATGGAATAGTTTGAATGTAATCTTATAAATTTATGTAAGACAAAATAATATATATATATATGTATTAAGTCACAAGTTACAAGTAAAACTGTCAAATAAACAAGATTCGAGGATAATTTATCCTATAATATTATTATAATATTATTTGTACTTTTAATTTGTAATTATTTATTTAATTATTAAATTAATTATAAAAATATGCGCCTGTTCCTATGCAACCCTCCAGACAAATTTTGAAAATGTTACTTTCGAGCGCCATCTAATGGGACGAAATTTTTTTTGCCGTGCAATCTGTTTATACACACGTGTATGACGGGTTGCCTATCTTTCGGGCAGAAAAAAAATTCCGTCCCAACAGATGACGCTCGCAAGCAACATTTTCAAAGTGTGTCTGGAGAGTTGCATATATACAGGCGCGCATTTCTATAATTATTGAATAAATAATTACAATAAAAAGGAAGAATAATATTAGAATAATATTATATAATAAATTATCCTATTCCAGATATTATGCACTTGTTTTATTCTCTCGAAACTTGTTTTCTTTTTTTTTTGCGAGGGTTTCACTTTTAACTTGTGTTATCTGCACACATGTTTTATATATATATATATATATTTTTTTTTTTTCTATCTATCTTTCGCATACGAATTACAAATTACCATTAAATGTACAAACACACAGACACATACACACACGGGCCATTAGATCGGCTAGATAATGCATATTGTTTAGCTTATGTTATATTAGAAACAAAGTAGGGAAACTTGTGTTATGTACAAGTTTACTAATATCGGCCTTTCCGGTTATGATCAGAACTGTTAATATCATCGAGTATATTTGGTAGTAGTAGTAGTAATAGTAGTAGTAGTAGTAGTAGTTGACTTGGGGAAACCCGATAGATTTGGCGAATTTAATGGATAATGCATCGGTAACGTTGATTGCATCTGTTAGCTGTGCTTTCTGAGGGGGAAGAAAAAAAAAGGAAAAAGATAAAGAGAGAGAGAGAGAGAGAGAGAGAGAGATAGAGAGAAGGAGAGAGAGAGAGAGAAACATCTATGTCTGCATTAGCAAATGGATAAACGCTAATACTGATAATGGGCTTTATGTAAACTTAGAATAGATATAGTATTATGCTCAGTATTCTCAATTCGAAATCATTGAAATCAATGTATATATATGTATATGTATGTATATTATATTATGGTTTAATACTAATAACTATTGTGTTCAATACTTTATTATATTCTATATAATACTTATATATGTATTATGCATTGATTATATCCTAATTAATTACATCGAATAAGTGTAATTTAGGTATTAAGCTAATCCACTACTCGTCTCTTATTTCAATACGATCAATTAATACGAATTAAACAATTCCATGTATATTTAGATTTGGAATGAATATTTGTAATATTTAATTATATTTATTTAATATATAATAATATTATAATTTTAATTTTATATTAAATTTATATATATATATATATATATATATATATATTTTTTTAAATTAAATTAAAAAAAAAATTAATATTTATATATTTATATTTATATTTATATTTTTTAAATATATATTAAATATATATTTAATATTATATTTATTATTTAATTAGATATTTTATTAAACATAATTTAGAGAGAATTATTAGAATAAATTTTGTAACTTTTACATTTCAAAACTTGATTCTTCTTCTTTTCAATGAAAATAAAAATGAAATATTTTCAATGATTTTTATACGCATGTTATACATTTTCTTGTTTTCTTTTTCATAAAATTTACACGAATTGTTTAATATATATTCACTTAAAAAAAAAAAAAAAAAACAAAAAAAAAACGAGAGTGAACAAAAAAAGGGGTACGTGCAATTATTAAATTCTTTCCATTAATCAAAAGTTGAAAAGTTAAAATACACTGTTTCAAAATTGTGAACTTTCTCCATTTTTACGTATCATCGTCTCATTTTTTTTTGTTTAATTCTTTTTTTTTTTCTCTTTTTACATTTGCCTTTTTTTCTCTTCTCTTTTTCTTATCTTCTCTTTTTAAAGATATTTTAAAAACGTGCTCGCGTAGTTTCAATAGATCAAAAAAATGACGAACGGGTAAAAAGAAAAGTCTAAGGATAGAATAAAAAAAACTCATATAGAATAAAGTTAGACACATATTCATACACACACACACAAACACTCATACCACATATGAGAATATCATCGTATTTTGCATAGAACACAAATTCGCGACATTTGTGAGCTGCTAAGGTGACATTTATAATCTGTAAGGCTTTTGTTTATTTGTTAAACAATCGTCAAAGATTTCGTGTATTTTCGTGCTGACTCCTACGAATATATAATTTTGAAATACAAATGAAACGTACACGCACATACATACACACACACATGTATATTTATATAAAAATATAAAAAAAAATTA